AATGTATTCATTTTTGGCATGCATAAAATTTGGACATTTAATCATGCCCAACTTAATGCAACTTTTTTTTAAGCAACATCTGCTGCCAACAGATTAGTGCCAACAGAAAACATTGTCTCCCCTTCACAAAGAGCAGCAAGGATAAGAAATAAAATTTAGTAACAGGTAGGAGGCTGTGTTCTGATCTGAATCAGAGAAAGTATCTAAAATTCAGTGCCTCCACCAGAACACACCTTTTTTTTGTGCACAATAGCTTGACAACAGTTTTTATACGCCTATAAACTGAAATCTGAGTTAGCACAGTTCAATTCTAACATTAATCATGGTAAATTGCTTGCTGGAGAACACAGAGCATGTCCACCACATCTCCTGTCAATTCAGACAACATGAAACAGCAGACTGATGTACCTCTTTGGATAAGTTACATTGCTTTACAGATTTATTTGCAATTTAAAATAATTCATAGGAGCAAAAACTCAGTTAAGGTACTGCTGTTTACAAATAATCTATATTTTTTCAATTGTTCTAAGCAAATTTTTGGAAAGACTAACAGTCACTGTTAGAATGCAAGTAAGGGCTGTTAATAGTGTGCCATATATTGTCTATGGTACAATGGCAAAGATTAAAAAAAAAAGAACTAGTAGATTCCTGAATAGAGAAATTTGTTTTCCTTTGAAGCTCTAGCAATTTCTTTGAAGCAGTCAGGCAACCAAAATATTAACCATGTTAATACTTTAGTAAGCAATGGAAAAATAGCTTCTAACTGTGAGCTTCTCAGTTATACCAGTCAACCTATTTTAACAACTGACAATATCTGAAATTATATTTTTATCTGACAAATGTTACTTCAATTAAAACTTAATCATGCTGCCTCTGCCAATCAAACACATGATATTAGCCCTCCATTTTAAACCTCAGCTGCTTGGACTGTATAAAATCAAAAGCAGAATTTCCTTTCTGATAGTTATTTATTGGTTTGAATAGCACTATGTACATTGATCAGAAATAAATATCACTTTAGCAGTAGTTTATCAGAGTAGCAATGGTTCAGTACAATTGGTGCTGAGACACTGAATTTTGAGAGAGAATGAGACAACAGAAAAACCTCATTCCAGATGACCATCCAATATCTTCTGCTGAAGGGTGCATGTCGTTGTTGTCAATCACTAACTAATAAGTATGATTATTCACCTAGGAAATTCCATGTAACTGGCCGTGGGCCTTTGTGCAGTTGATGAGCCTGATCCTAGAGCTGCATCTCTGACCACACATTTGATAGGCTTCCAGGAGGTGGAACCGGTCCTTTGTCTTGGGATCATTGGCATTCCTTTTTCTGGTTCCTTTTCCATACTTTCTCATGTCAATGGGCATTCTCACAGAATTGTGTCCGATTGTATAGGAATTTCCTCCAAGTTGCTTTCTTCTGAATGAACGTCTTACATGCATTGGCACCTACATTGCATTTCTTGAGGAAAACCTGAAGTGAGTCTTTGAAATGTTTCCTTTGTCCTCTCATTTGAGTGCCTTCCATGAGCTGGTCTGAAGATGATTTGCTTTGGTAGTTGGAACTCAGGCATCCTAAGCAAGTGGTTGGCCCAGTGGAGTTGGTTTCAGATGATCATGGCCTCGATGCTGGTACTATCAGCTGTTTCAAGAATGCTGATGATAGTATGCCCGTCCTCCCAGCTGATGTGGAGAACATTTCTTAAACAGCATTCATGGTACTTCTCAAGGATCTTGAGGTGGCGTCTATACATAGTCCAAGTTTCAGAGCCATATAGAAGGGTTGGAAGGACGCCCAACTTATACATAAAGATCTTTGTATCAGCACGGATATCACAGTTGAAGAAGACTCCCATCCTTAGACGTCCAAAGGTGGCATTCGCAGATTGGATGCAATATTGGATTTCTGCATTAGCCTTATATAAGAGATGCAAGTATAGTAACATGGCCAAGAATTATGTTTTAAAATTTGTTCATGAGACATGGTTATTGCTGGCAAGGCCAGCATTCATTACCTGTTTACAATTGGCTTGAAAAGGTGGTGGTGATTTGCACACTTGAACCATAGTAATCCATTGGTACTCCCACAGTGCTGTTACAGAGGGAGTTCCAGGACTTTGACCCAGTGATAGTGAAGAAGCAGTGCTACAATTCCAAGTCAGGATGGCATGGGGCTTGGAGGGGATCTTGTAGCTTTTCATGTTCCTATGCTGTGCTGCTGTTACCCTCTTAGCTGATACAGATTGTTGATCTGGAACATGCTGTCAAAGGAGCTTTGGTAAGTTGAACACAGGACATAAAACAGTGCAGCATAGTACAGGCCCTTCGGCCCACGATGTTGTCAGGACCTATTATCCTACTAAGATCAAACTACCCTGCATACCCTACATTTTACTATCATCCATGCGCCTATCCAAGAGTCACTCAAAAGTCTCTAAAGTATTTGACTCCACTACCACTGCTGGCAGCGTATTCCACACACCCACCACTCTCTGTGTAAAGAACCTACCTCTGACATCTCCCCTGTACCTTCCTACAATCACCTTGAAATTAGGCCCCCTCATAACAGTCATTTCCGCCCTGGGAAAAAGTCTCTGACTATCCACTCTATCTGTGCCTCTCATCATCTTGTATACCTCTATCATGTCACCTCTCATCCTTCTTCGCTCCAATGAAAAAGCCCTAGCTCCCTCAACCTTTCCTCATTAGACATGCCCTCCAGTCCAGGCAGCATCCTGGACCCTCTCTAAAGCTTCCACATCTTTAATGAGGTGACCAGAACTGACCACAATATTCCAAGTATGGTCTAACCAGAGTTTTATAGAACTGCAGCATAAACTCACGGCTCTTAAACTCAATTCCCCTGCCAATGAAAGCCAACACACTATACGCCTTCTTTACAACCCTATCAACTTGGGTAGCAACTTTGAGGGATGTATGGACGTGGACCCCAAGATCCCTGTGTTCCTCCACACTACTGAGAATTCTGCCATTAACCCTGTATTCTGCATTCAAATTCGACCTTCCAAAATGAATCACTTCACAAAGTAAGTAAGTAAGAACGTCATGATGCTATAGGCCTTTTATAAATCCTTCTGGAATTTAGGGACAGCCTGAATACTTTCAGCATTATGGACATCACTCTCATCCTTTCAAAGTCTTCAGCCTCACCACAGTCCCTCCACTTTGCTTCTTTCAGAATTTTATGAGGTGTTCTGATCCCCACCCAATAGACCAATACCTTACCAGGCACAGTCCTTACAGCCACTTAATGGCCAGTTGGCTAATAGTAAATTGGACACTGTCCACACTTGGGGCATAAAGACGCAATCTCTGCTGTGTCATCACTTGGTCATTATTTGTGGGTATTGGGGAGTGCCAAACTGACAGGCCTGGCGAGGGGAGTTGGGTTGAGGATCTTTCTTTCATGAGATGTGGGTATCGCTGATTAGGCCAAATTTTATTGCCCGTGAGAAGGTGGTGATGAAGTCCTTTATTCAAATTCCGCCATCCTGTTAGGCTGAGAATTCCAGGATCTTGACATAAAGGCAGTGAAGGAACAGCAAGAGATTTCTAAGTCAGGATGGTATGCAGTTTGGAGAGGAATCTGGTGATGGTGTTCCCATGTATCTGTTGCTCTTGCCCTTCCAGGCAGTAATGCTCACAGGTTTGGAAGCTGAGAGAGGAAACTTGGTGAGTTCCTGCAGCGCATCTTGTAGATGGTCCATATTGCTGCCACTGTGCGTAGATGGAGGTGGTGCTGTTGTGGTAATGTCACTGGTTTACTAATCCAGAATCCCAGGCTAATGTTCAGAAGTTGTGGGTTTGAATTCAATGAAAAAAATCTGGAAGTAAAAGCTAGTCTCATGGTGACCATGTGATCACTGTTGAATGTTGTAAAAACTAATCTTATCAGTAGTGTCCTTTATGAAAGTTGCTGCAGTACATCTTGTCAATGATGCTGCTGCTACTGTATGCTGGTAGTGATAGGAATTAATACTTAATTTGGATGGGGTCCTGATCAAACAGGCTGCTTTTTTCTGGATATTGTTAAACTTCTTGAATGTTTTTGGAACTGTACTCATCCAGCAAGCAGGGAGTCTTCTCTTTAAATTGTGCCGTGCAGACCACAGAATGATTTTGGGGAGTTAGGAAGCAGAATTTACAGCAGAATGCCTACAGCCTGGCACAGAGAAGTTTCTGGTCAATGGTAACCTTGGGTGTTGATGGCCGATTCAGCAATGATAATGCTGTTAAATATCAACAGGACATATTGTTGATGATGTTCATCACTTGGCACTTGTGTGACGCAAATGTTACTTGCTACTTCTCCACCCAAGTCCAAATATTGTCCAGGTCTTGCTGCAAGCAAGCACGGGTTGCCTCAGTATCTGAGGAGTTGAGAATAGTATTGAACAGTGGGTAATTATCAGAAAGCATTCCCACTCTGACATTATGATGAAGCTACTGAAGATGGTTGGGCCTGAAACAGGACCCTGAAGAATCTGTAACTTTGGACTACAACAACCAACTTACTTTGTGCTCAGCGTGACTCCAACCAGTGGAATTTTCACTTAGTCCCATTGACTTCAATTTTTATTAGCGTTTCTTGATGCTACACAGACAAAATTCTCCCTTAATGTCAAGACAGTCACTCTAACCCCGTATATTGAGTCCATATTTGGACCAAGACTGCAATAGGGTCCAGAATCCAGTGGCTGTAATGTCCCCCACATAAAGCAGCCTAATTGTAGAAGCAATGCCTAGGCCTTCACTAAACAATCAAAGTGCTCCCAGTATAATGGAACAGAACCCAGTATGTGTGGCCATCTGAGGTAAAAACAAGATTTACTTCAATGTGAATGATGAAGTGCTCAGGGTATAATTAGTGCAATTTCAAGCAGTTAAAAGTTGATTTTTGCATATGAGTTTTTTAATAAATATTTTCTTTCACATGATGTGGAGTAATTGCCGTGGCCACCATTTATTGCCTGTCCCTAATTTATTCAAGAGGTGGTAGTGACTTTTCTTCTTGAACTGCTGCAATGTATGTGGTGTAGACACACCCATAGTGCTGCTAGGAAAGAGTTCCAGAATTTTGATTTAGCAACAGTGAAGAATGGGTGCCATATTTTCAAGTCATGATGGTGAGGGCTCTGGAAGGAAACTTGCATCACACATCTGATGCCCAGGTCCATTCCAGCAGTTTGAAAAGTGTTTTTGAAGTAGTCTTGGTGAGTTGATGTAGTGCATCTTGTAGATAGGACACATTCCTGTTACTGTGATAATTGGGGGAGTGAATGTTTAAGATAGTAGGCAGAATGGCAATCCAGAAGGCTGCTTTGTCCAGAAGTGATAGCAGGCAAAAGAGAATATTCCATCACACACCCAACTTGCGCCTTGTACAGGTGAACAGGCTTTAATAGGAACATAATATTACACCACTGATTAAATCTCAAGTTAACATATCAGCTTTAAATGAAATTAAAAAGAATGGAAGAGTTTCTTTCAAGAATTAATTTCAGGCAATGTATTTGAAATTTATACTGTTGCATTAAATATAACAAAAGGAAGACTACCAAAAAGGAAAATTATCAAAGCACCTATGTAGCCTTGATTGACAATGAAAAGCTAACCGTATTAGAAGAGTTACATATTTGGTTCTACTGAACCTTAGCAGCTTGGTTGCTTCTTCTTTCCACTAGAACAAAACAAAGATATACAATTATAACTTGCATTGGAAATAAGTTACAATGTTTTCTTCCTCTAATCTGCGAAGGCAGTAAACCACAAGGTATCCCAATTCTAAAGGCACGAGCAACATTATTTAATTGGCCAAACACATTGTCATGCAACTCAAACACGGGGAGGCAGAGGATTCAAACCATGGATACCCATCATTATTCACCTGAATTACATTCTTGTCCAACACTTATGGGTATAGTGTTTTTAAAACCATATATTACAGAAAAGTCAAAAATAGGAACTGCCTGATATTTTTCCTGCCTGACTCATGGTGGTCTGAAACCAACTGTAGCATATTTATCACCATTCCTCTACCAAGGAACAGTTCATTCAGTGCAGGTCCCAGTCTCAGGGCTCTGTGACATACTGACTGGATCATTTTGGGAAACTTTTTTTTAAAATATACACTTCATCAATACCTGCATTTTCTTCTAATTTACATATTAGCATCATGTTCCTAGGCCTAATGAATGTTACTTTAATTGGGGATGTTTTAGGAGTGGAATAGAATCACTCTCTTTACTTTCCTCTTAATATAGACACTCCGCAATCTGCTCAGCAGCCTTACCACTCAAAAATGTGAAGCTATTTACAGGAGGGTGAAATCTATGACCATTAGAAAATGTAGATTTGGGCACAGGTCATCTCCCCCAGACATCACAATACCCTCAAAACTACACAATGAATTGTTCATTTTGGAAAACAATTGAGAAAAACAACTTATTGAGGTTCTAAAAATAGCTGTGTGAATTAGACTGTGCAACATTAGAATGTTGGCGGGATCCTGCAAAACCCTAAATCGCCAAGTTTCTTTATGTTAGTTCCCAATTCGGACATAACATAAAACAGCTTTGCTCTCTGGAGTTGAGTATGTGCAGGTCAATTTGCAAAGCACAGAAGAACTAGCAATTCTCTCTACAGTTAGTACGGGATTAGAAATGTCAGAAAACTTCCAAACTGAAATTTTGGTACTTACTGAGTTCCCTGTTTCTTTGGAGCTCAGCAGTCAGATCCCCCGACTTGTTCCAGGCACCAATGAAATATTCAAACTCTTTTCTCCCCTCTAAAGCCTGAAATTATAACAACAAAGTAGTAAGCTTATTGCATGACAAACAGAACACCCCTCTCCAAAAAAAAAAAATCACTCTGGAGCTATTTATTAATTTTGGGTGATATTGGGTATGTGAGTCAAAGATAAATAAGGAATTTGCATGCCATTTTAACACAAGAGAGGTTGGGTCAAGACTAGTTCTGGCAGAATCTTCCAGTGGAAAAACATCCTCAATGCCTATTTTACCAATTAAGTCAAAATTTTCATAATTCAGATACCAGATTGGAGATTTTAAATCGTAATCTCTAAAATTAACAGAGCACTGTACAAGTGAGTATCTAATCAAATATGCTGGCAGCTGAGTTGAGACTTCTAGGAGTCACTGGGATATAATGAACAATATATGATCATACTTTTTGATATTATTTCGTTAACAAAAAAGCAGAAAGAAATTAAGGCACACTGTTGTAACACCTTAGTCTAGAAAACTAGCAGCACAGTGGCTCAGTGGTTAGCACTGCTGCCTCACAGCACCAGGGACCTGGGTCCAATTCCACCCTTGGGTGACTGTCTGTGTGGAGTTTGCACATTCTCCCAGTGTCTGCATGGGTTTCCTCCGGATGCTCCGGTTTCCTCCCACAGTCCAAAGATGTGCAGGCTAGGTGGATTGGCCATGCTGAATTGCCCAGAGTGTTCAGGGATGTATAGATTAGCTGGGTCATAGGGAGATGGGTCTGGTTGGGATGCTCTGAGGGTCGGTGTGGACTTGTTGGGCTGAAAAGCCTGTTTCCACACTGTAGGGATTCTACAACAAAATTGTGTTTGGTGCAAAATGTAATTTGGTTGTGAACAACTGGCCTGGCAGCAAAATCATGCATTTAAGGCATGAGTATTGGACTCCAGGGATAGGATGGGAGCTATCTAAACCCAGAAATGAAGAATAGTCACTTGACTGAGGCACTAGATGCTGCCACCAACACCATGTCTTCAGCAATGAAGTGAAGTGGAATGAAAAAGTGGCATTTCCATTACCTATACTTAAGTAATAGACCTTTTATCAGGACATCTAGACTGACCTGCAGAGCACTCAACTTTTCTCTGGTTGCTTTGATAACCAAGACAGACTTTTCCACTTTTGACCTCAAAATATTTAATCTATATCAAAACAAAAGACTCAAGTTATATCACAAACTTCAGAACTTGGCAATTTCTATATATTAATTCTTCATCAATGAAAAGCTTATGAGATCAGAATTTGGAGAGCAAAAATATAAATACAGGGAAGGGCAGGGATGTGGGATTAGAGCTCACAGCAATACGTGCCAAGTGGTCTTCTTTCTGCTGTATTATTCATGATTTATATAGATCATATCGAAAGTCTTACACACAGTGCACATTTCCCGTAAACATCACATTTACTTTGTCACATTCAATGTTTTCCCTGACTCACTGGGAGCAATATCTCAGCTGATCTAATACTTCTTTAATATATATTTTTAAAATTATATATACACATGTTTACATAATACAGTAATCTTCTTCAAAATGTTGCATTACTCAGGACAGTCCCTTTTCAATAGATTGCAAGAATTGACAGTGATTCAGTGACTCACTCTTTCTGGGCTGCATGCAGATGCCCTTTTGTGGAAACTTTAGACTTTTCCACATTCGATTCAGCAACATCTACAGGACAACATAAAACAAATATATTTTATTTTGACCTTACAAAACTGCATGATGTTTTCCCAAATGCCTTTTCAATGCACTTCCTCCTGCTGAGAGTAGGTGGGAAAATGGTCTGATCCCTGTTCTTGGCAAATGCTGTTTTGAAACAAGACTTTCTAAATCTGTTTCTTTCTCTTGCCACGAGGAATCTCCTGACCCTAAATCAGCCAGACTCCATAGCTGATATCAGGAAGAAATGGCTATTTCTATACATGTTATATGACAGTTGGGGGTCAATTAGCTCAGTCAGCTGGATGGCTGGTTTGTAATGCCAATAACGTGAGTTAAATTCACACACAGGCTGAGATTGTGAATTTAGTGGCGGCACGGTGGCTTAGTGGTTAGCGCTGCCTCACAGCATCAAAGACATGGATTTGATTCCATCCTCTGTGCAAACTCCACACAGGCAGTTGCCTTTCTCCCCATGTCTGCACTGGATTCCTCTGGTACTCCGCTTTCCTCCCACAGTCCAAACGTGTGCAGGTTAGGTGGATTGGCCATGCTAAATTGCCCAAAGTGTTCAGGAATGTGCAGGCTAGGTGGGTTAACTATGGGAAATGAAGGGTTACAGGGATAGGGTGGGGTGTGGGTCTGGATACGATGCTCTTCGGAAGGTCTGTGTGGACTCAATGGGCTGAATGGCTTGCTTCCACACTGTAGGGATTCTATGGTTACCATCAAGGACTGTCCTTCTCAATCTCTTCCTTCGCCTGAGGCATAGTGACCCTCAGGTTAAACCACAATCACTTGTCTCTCTCATGAGAGAGCAGCCCCATGGTCTGGTAAGACTAAGGTGACTTTACATGGGGGGCAGGGAGTGCAGAATTAGTCTAAACTATATCGTCCTCATCACTATTTTAAGTTTACTCGATGACGAACTAATTTGTTCGATCATACAAAGATTATGGTAGAATTTTCCTTTTATTTCACACACTCTGAAATTACTATGGACAAAGTGTTTTGCAGAAACGTTTTAAAAGAAATTTAATTATCATCTTGACCTCGAGGTCAATGCTACTCCAAAAGTGCAACACAGGATGCACCCAGTTAGTTATAACGTAATTATGAAGACATTGATAGTATGTCACTCAGCAATAGAATAATACATTAAACAAAATGAATTAATTTTCAAAAACATTGCTATTACTTTACCAGATTTTGCTCCACAGAGTGCATCCCTGGGGGTAAAAGGGCTAAGACACTGAGTTCCAGTGACTGGGGAAAATCTTTCAATGGAAACCTTGTGGTTCTTTTTGCAAGGTGTTGCCTCATCTGCCTGCAGTTGTAGAAGAAATGGCCTTAAGGCACCATTTTTAACTTCTGATTTAATGAAAGCATCTTCAAATCTTCATATCTTTAATACTTACCCTTTTTTCCAACTTTAGTGACCGTTTAACTCTGAAATATTAAAAGAAATATGTTTTGTTTAAGAAAATATCAGAACGTACAACTTCAAAGCAGCAGAACGTAGGAGCAAAGTATTGCAGATGCTGGAGTCTGTACTGAAAACAAAAGATGCTGGAAATCACAGCGAGTCTGGCAGTATCTATGGCAGCAAACTAATGTTTTGAGTCTAGATGACGCTTCATTAGTTCAAAACAGCAGACACTAATAAGGCAAGCATAATGTCAATTTAACTCTCTGCCTAATGTGCTATGATGTACACTTCCACTGGTGCTACAAGTTCTGTTCCACTGTCAGTACTTATTCATCATAGTGCCATTAGTTGCTTCCTTAAATGAATCACTCACTTCATACAAGTGGAAGTAGACTCACAATGCCCAATTTTGAACTATAAAAGAACATAACCAACGAGTGTAACAACACAATATGATCATGACTGGACATGCAGATTTTATGCATATGTTCACTTATCTCACCAATGTTTATAATGAAAATCCAAGATAAATTATCAAGTTACTTTTTCTCATAGAAAGTACATATACATACCAGAGTTGTGGCCAAGGTGAAATCATTCAGTGATTTTTATATATAATACAAACTAAAGTATACACTGTGTTACCCCTCATCACTTGTTGGACATTCTTGACTCAATTAAAAAAAAATGCTCCCATCTAATCACGTGCATTTTCCTCACACACCTGGGCAAAGCTAATTTTTGTAGTTTTTCTTGTTTTGAACCGGACTCATTTTGCAGGTTGTACTGGATTTAATTCCGTTTGTCCAACAGTTAGTTTCTCAGTCGAAAGTGAAGGCCTGACAAAGCTTTTCAGGGGCCAGATTATTCCTAATACAAACGAGCGAGGTACTTAATGATCGCCAAAACAGGCTACAAATTTTAGTTCATTTGTACCTTAATGTCTCCAGTCCAGTGACTCTTTGTTAGAACTGAAAGCAGCTGGGAAATAGTGGTATTTATACTGATAATGGGTGATGGTTTGGTTGGGGGAGGAAGGAAGGAGTGAGACAAATAGATGAGTAAGACTAGAATTCCAACTGTGCTCCTCAACTGGAGTTAGTGATTAGCACAGCTTTAAACTGTACAGTAGGGATGCTTAATTTTCATCCGCAAAAGGATAAGGTTTGCGTGACACATGAATAATTGAGTTAAGTTATTGGTTACGTGACCTAATAGGGTTCTGTTGAGCAATCAATTATAATTGATTCATCAAGACACATTTCTTATATTTAAAATCAATTAATTGACCTCTAATTGATCCATTGTCATGTAACCTGGCCTTGTCATTTAATGATCCTGTTTCACTCCTTATCAGCGACATTGTTGCAATAGCAGAACAAACCCGAATTTCTTTCTGGCTTTCAGTTTATTAGCTAGGCAATACTACACAAATGACCCTGAGCAACTCTGATACTTTCCTAACATTGGGCAAGATGTTCTCATTCTTAATGGTACAAACATTTTATTATATAAAGTGAAGGCAATTTGAGCCTGAAATGGGAAAGTGTTCTATTTCCCAGCACTTAATTTCAGCATCAGACTTCATCAGATGACTGGACTTAAGGACTGGTTTTCATCAGACCTCACACTGTAGTGATCAAGAACTCTTTTTCAGCCTCAAACTCAAAACAGCATTTCTACTTCACAAGCATTATAGTTTCAATTAGTAGTGGCTTCTTATGACTTGTGCATGTTATTAGACATAACCCAGTAGGAAAGGGTTAGAATTTCCTACAACTCAGGAACAAAATACATTATGTAGCATGTTTAATATAAAAACATTCAAAGGATTTTCATGCAGGTGTTATGAAAAATAAAGATGATGGCTAGACAAAACAGAAGCTACAAGGAGTGGGATAGAGAAAACAAGAGTTGGAAGTTTGGGGAGGTTACAGATTTGAAAGGGTGAAACTTTGGAAAAAACTAAACAAGGATGAGAACATTATTTTTGAGGTACTGCATGACTGAGAATCAACATAGGTTGAGGTGCTAGAATTTGCAGGCACAGTTTTAGATAAATTGAAGTTTAGTATCTGAATTGTGATGTGAAAATTAGGAATGCATCAATATTACCAGCTATAATGGAAAGTGAGCAAAGGTAGAGAAGGGCATGGAGTTAGAGATCTTCAGATTGGCAAGTGGAATTGGACTACAACTCACTATTGAATAGAACACAGCATACAACATAGAACACCAGTAATGGCTAAAACCAAAACAGCAACCAGGAAGTAGGATTGACAATTTTAAACGTTCATGATAAATAAGAGTGGAGATTAAATAGACTTCTTTAATCTAACTACCAACAAACACACGGTCCATGAAACCATTGTGTCGAAGAAATTAAGGGGAACCATTAATAACCATCATCACCATCTCATCTTTTTCATTCAACCCACTTCCAGATCATCCCCACCTCCCCCACTGCTCTCCTCTCTTCTTAGCCTCCCTCTTTCACCCACCACCCCGACTAACTTAGCCACTGACACAATGACATCCCCAATCCCTGCCTCCCTCTCTTAAACTCCCTGTCCCTTATTCAGTCCCAATGCTACACATCACTCCAACACATTCCCACCCCCCCTCACGTTCCCTTCCTCATTCACCTGCCTCCTCACTTCTTCATTTTTCCATCTCTTGTCCATCCTACCCCAACTCCCCTCCCCGTTTAGTCACTCCTCACGTCACCCGCCAGTCCTTCCTGTTCACTTCACCACTGCCCCGTAAACACCCACACTTGTCACTTCTCCCCTCAACTTGCCTCTCTCACTATTCACTTCCATCTCGCCTTCCCCACTCGCACCAAACTCGACTCCTCAAACCACCAACATCCCACTCTTCCTGTTCCCCCATTTCACACAGCTCAAAACCTCCACTCTCTCCAACACCCTCTCCCCTTCTTCCCATCCTCACTATTCCACCCCCCCCTTCTCCCCCTCCCCCCCCCCATTATCCCACCAACTCCTCCTCCTTCCCCCCCAATTATACCACTGCCTCCTCCCTAGTCCCCCTGCCCCTCACTAGCATGGGGTGGATATGGGTTTCTGGCAGGTGAACTCTGCCTCCGGCGGCAGTGGCAGCAATGCCAGGAGGAGCCGGACACGGGTCTACCCTAGCCTGGTGTCTCCTGGTGAGCGAGGAACAGGTCCCAGGCTCTGAAGGTCTCTTTCATCTTTTGGCATCCAAGTATTCCAGAGGCCTGGCAGGCAGCTTTGACCAGGAGTGGCAGTCTTGACCTGGCTGCGTCTTCAGGGAACCGTGGTGAACTTTGTCTCAATTTTACTTTTTATTATTATTGTTATGTATGACTTCTGTCATTTATGTAGATGTGAGGGAGTGACTTATAAAATTTTTCACTCTATCTTTCATATAAAAGTACATGTGACATGTCCATGCCATGCAATTCTGCCACCCCACCTCCCTGGTAAGCTTGGCTCCACACCTCCCAAACTCATGGTAATCATGGCTTCATCCTCCCCCCTCCCCCCGCAATCACGGCTCCTCACCCTCCCCCCCCCCCCCCGCACTCACGGTAATCTCGGCTCCATCACCCCCCCGGCACTCACGGTAATCTCGGCTCCATCCTTTTCTGATTCTGACTCCCGCCCCCACCACGAGCTGTTTCTGGTTTGATTTCCCCGCCCGGTGTCGCTCTCTTTTCGCTCCGGGTACTGACCCTCGCGGCTCGAGCTGCTGAATTCCAGGCTCGCTTCTCCTCACTTCGTGCATTTCAAGCTTTTTCACCAAAGCGTTGCCGTGTCTTTCGATGTTTGTACTGTAGAGTTGCAACCTCAAGCCCGTCAGTACCTGGACCATGTCAGAGTCCTTGATGAAATTCAAAACATTTGGAACAAATCAACAGCTTTACCTTCCACCCTGAGGAAATCTGATAAAATATGTTGGGGACATTTCAAGAAAAAGGACAGGTGGAATAAATACCAATCAGTAAACCAGAGAAGTGGACAAACCAATGAAAGGCGGTTAACTTTGTTCCGCTTTCAGCATCCAGCCGTTTTGTGCTGTATTCTCAAGTTAAGTTTGTAAAGCTTAATTAAAACAAAGACTGCAGCCACTTGGTCAGGAAACCGGAACTATTGTTTAGGACCGGGTTCTTCTCAGGATCGGGTCGGTAAATAGTGAGCACCGCTTTCTTTCCATTGGCTAAAGTAGGTTTCCATGGTTATAGCCAAGGCCCAGGCAGAGGAGGTGAGGACAAACCGGAGGGTAATTGGTATCTTTAATAATGTTATTAAACTCCAGAGACGTTAACTTTTTGCAACTAGAAACTTCCAGAAGTTGCATTCTAGTTTCGTTAATGCGAAGAGGTTACAGATTAGCTGTTGCCCTGATCTAGTTCAGATATTTAAGAAGTATTAAATTTTCTTTCTACTAATAATGGGTCTATTAAATTTCACTTGTTTTGCTTTAAAAACATAATGCCTTAAAAACGTCACCAACAGAGAGAAGCTATAATAACCTGGGAAAATATTTTGTTTGAAGATATTATAATTTTTTTTAGCAAAGTAGAGGAAGAAGAAGGGGTTTAATAACAATCTGTAAACTAGGAAAGGTTTTGAAAGTGTGAAATTGAATGATGCTTGGGAAGCAGTAGCAAGGGCGCCAATTTACGTCACTGAAATGTTAGTTGAAATTTCTTTTGGAAGTGCAGTGAACTTTGGTTAAATATTTGATGTGGTGGAAATGAAATGCATCTTAATGTAATTAAACTTAGTTCCGCCTTCATAAATAGGATTTGCAAATTTATCATCTCAACCCTAGGCCATCAGTTTCTCCTAGACACAGATGCTTCATCAATGACCTTCCCTCAGGATGTTTGTTGGTGTTTCGACAATGTTTAATTCCAATCACAGTTTCCTCAGATAATAGAACAGTTCATGTCTGCATGCAGCATGATCACCTTGTTACCAATATTTAGACTTAGCATCATAAATGGCAATAATATTTCTGCCAGGCAAGTGTAAAGCAATGACTACCATCAAGAAGTGAGAGCATAACCCTTGATATTTGAAGGCATTGCAATCATCAAACCCTTACCATCAATATCCTGGAGTTGTAGGTGACCAGAAACTTAAATTTACCAAGCATCTAAATACTGTGGCTATAAGAGAGAGTCAGATAGCAGTTCTTCTGCACATAAAGTGGTTAAGAAGGCATATGATATACTTATCTTATTAGTTGAGGAATATAATTTAAGAGCATGGAGGTTATGCTGGAAGCATGTAAGATGTTTGTTAGGCCATAGCTAGAGTATCATGTGCAGTTCTGGAATCCACATTTTGAGAGGATATGATAGCACTGGAGAGGCTGCAGAGGAGATTTACCTGGATGTTGCCTGGACTGGAGAGTTTCAGTTAAGAAAAGGGCTTGAACAGACTAGAGTCATTTTCCTTAGAGCAGGGGAGATTGACAGGAGACATGATTGAAATGTATAAATTTATGAGGGGCACAGATAGGGTAGGCAGGAGGGATCAATGACAAGATGGAGTAGATTTAAGGTAAGGAGCAGAAGATTAAGAGGAGATGTGAGGAACAACATTTTCACCTTGAAGGTGGTGGGACTCTGGAACTAACTGCTTGTAAGGGTGGTAGAGGTAGAAACCCTCATTACATATAAAAAGTATTTAGATGTGCACTTGATGCTAAAGCATACAAAGTTATGAGCCAAGTGCTGGGAAATGGAATTAGAACATTGACTGTTGCAATGGGCTGAAAACCTTCAATAGGCTGGAGATTTCTATGCTTCTAAAGAAAGGTAACCGATGGAAGGAGTCCTATTATTTTTATGTATAAGTACTCCTTCCAAATTAGTTTCATGGACATCCTTGCCTAAATATTGAGTTTTATCATGAGATGTGGGTGTTACCGACTGGATCAACCTTTACTGCCCTGTCCCTAGTTTACCTTGAAAAGGTGTTAGTGAGTTGCCTTCTTGAACCACTGTAGTGCATTTGGTCTGGGGAGGACGTTCTAGATCTTGACCCATTGACAGTGAAGGAACGATGACTTACTTCCAAATAAAGTTGGTGAGTGCCTTGGAGGTGAATTTGCATGTTTATATGGTATTTAATATAAAACACAATCTTGTGAATTTTCAGAATGTCCACCCAGCAAGGAAGCATCACAGCTACTTCAGCTTTGCCCAGGCAACCTGAATCTGGCAGATCTCAGCACACCGAAGAAGAGATTTTTTATAGAAACTGTAGAGCAGCTTACCTGACTGTATTTCGAACCAGTTTAGAGAATATCACTTCCAAAGATCAACTCTGTCTGGGTAAGATTATAATTAAAATAGCAAATACAGCTAAACAATTTGTTATATTTGTATTTTAAATCTATACTTTACAAACAAATGGAGAAAACAGCTAAACAATCACCATTATACTGCAGGTTCTTTGAAGTGATATTGTATTTATGATATGTTGCTGTCTGCCAAACCTGAACAAAGCGGAGATTACTTAACTTTTGTGAAGTAAGAACTGTCAGATCTGAAGTTAAGTTCCAAATATTATAGGTAAGTTAAGATATAGGATGAACAACACTTGGGGCTTAACATTTCAACACGAACAACTGAGATAATGCAAAAATGAAATGATACTGATGTTGGAAATCTGAAATAAAAGCATAACACTCTGGAAATATTCAGCAGGCCTGACAGCATTTGGACAGAGAGAAACAGTTAAATTTTCAGGTCCTTGACCTTTTATCAGAATAGCAGAAATCTATTCAGAAGCAGTCACATTATTGAAGCTGTAAAGCCCGTTTCAAATCTTCCGAATGAAAACTAATAATTTATTCTTAAAAGTGCAGTAACTTCAAGGTTAGGCAAAACTAGTACAATTCAACAAACAAAATATTAGATTAATTAATCAGTTTTTCTAGATTCTATTGGTGTTACTTAAAAGGTAACTGATGGCCAGGACACCAGGAGAACTCTTAGTTCTTCAAAAGTAGTGGTATGATGCCTTACGTCCACTTGAACAGCCAGCTGGGGCCTTGGTTTAATCCTTATCCAAAAGATGGGTTACTTGAAAATTCAATATTTGTGAAAACTGCACTGAAATGTTGGCCTAGATTATGAATTTCAGATCTGGAATGGAACTTGAACCCACGGTTCTCAGAATGAGAGTACCATCATTGAACAAAGTTGACACTTGCTGCATGCGCCACTACACCACATTGAGCATTCTGTCTTTATTGAGACTGGAATGGCTGTGATTAATGAAATGTATAGTATGACGCCATACCGATGGAAAGTCATCAACCTGAAACTTTAGGTATGTTTCTGTTTCCATACATATGCTGAGTAGTTCCAGCATTTTCTGTTTTTGTTTCATGCCTTTCACAACTTGGGAAACACAAGAATCATTTCAACAAACCCTGTGGACAGGGACCACTAAACTGCCTTCCCAAACTTCCTCTCCACCCATAACACCCATGTTTTTATTCTGTCTGTGTCTGTTTGTAAGTGCATGTTGAGGGGGAGTTTATAAGGTGGTTGGAGTTTCAACTAGTAGTTCTATAAGTTGATAGTTCATAATTGTTAGAATCAATTTATTTGTAATGAATAGTAGTTCTTATTAAGTGTAGAAACTGGTCTGTGCTTCCTGTCAACCTAGGTCTAAAACACATAAATTGGAGATAAATTTTGTGCACTTTTTAAAATCTTGAACTTTTGAGATGACTCCAGCAATAGCAGGACTTGAATTCCAGTGAGGCAATAAGAGGATGGATAAGAGTGACCATGACACTGTCCTTGTGAAGACAATGTCCTGTCTTCACATTAAGACCCCTCCATTGTCTTATGTGGCATTATCATCATGCCAAATTGAATAGATGTCAGGCATTGGACAGATCTAACAACTCAGGACTGGGCATCCATTACCACCAGCAGTAGTAGAATTGTATTCCGGACACAATGTGCAACCTCATGGCCTAGTATATCCCACACTCCAATATTGGCATCAACCTAGGGGATCAACTCTGGTTCAATGAAAACAGCAGAATCGTCTGCTAGGAGCAGCACCAGTAATACCTAAAAATACGGTGGCAACACAATGAAGCTACAAAACAGTATTAACTCTGTGCCAAACTTCATAAGAACCAGTGATAGACAGAGCTAAGCAATTCCACAACTAACTGATCAAATCTAAGCTCTGCAGTTCTGAGGAAGGGTCACCGGACCCGAAACGTTAACTCTGTTTTTCCTCCACAGATGCTGCCAGACCTGCTGAGCCTTTCCAGCAACTTTGTTTTTGTTCCTAAGCTCTGCAGTCCTGCCACATCTAGTTGTGAATAGCAGTGGACAATTAAACAACTCGCTGGAGGCAGAAGCACCACAAATATCCTCATTCTCAGTGATGCTGGAGTCCAGCACATCAGTGCAGACTTTAAGGCTGATGAGCTTGCAACAACCTTTAGCTGGAATTACCAACTGGATAATCCATCTTGGCCTCCACCGGAGGTTCCCTGCATCACAGATGCCAATCTTCAGCTGATTTGATTCACTGTAGATGATAGCAAGAAACCAGTAGAAGCACTAGATACTGCAAGGGCTCTGTTCACTTTTAAAATTCCTGCAATAATATTGAAGATCTGTGCTCCAGAAGCTGTCCCAGTGTAGCAACAACTCTGGCATCTGCCCTACAACGTGAAAACATTCTCAGGCTTGTCGTGAAAGCAGAACAAATCCACCGCAATTACCACCCAATTAGTCTACTCTCAAACATCAGAAAAGTGATGCACAATGTCCTTAATAGTGCTATCAAGCAGCACTTGCACAGAATAACATGCTCACTGACATTCAGTTTGCTTTTTACCAGGTACTCCATTCCTAACCTCGTGGCCTTAGTTCCAACATGGTCAAAAGTGCTGAATTCCAGATGCTGAAATCCAGAGTCTTAAAAATGTTTCCATTTCTTTCTGTCTTAGTACACTTTTGATGAAGAATCATCGCCTGGCGCATAGCTGTTTCTTTCCATAGTTGCTGCCTGACCTGCTGAGTATTTACAGCATTTTCAGTTTTTATTTGCTGTTCTGTTACCTTGTAATGTTGAATTTTTTTTTCTTTCTTTCGACACAAGGATGGACACATATGAAAAGTGCATGTTTGGCAACCGTGATAATTATCTGATACACAAGATGATGTAATCGACAATCAAAATATAAAAACTATGGAAAAGACTCAAATCATAATTCTTATATCTTCCAGTTTAATTTACTCAAACCTCTACGCTAAACAATGTTATTCAGTTGTAAGCCCACCACAATGGACAAAAGGAAAATACTGAATATTTTGAAAATCAGAATTAAAAACAAAACATAAGATTCTGGAAATTATTCAGCATCTGTGGAGGGAGAAAGCAAGTTATAGTTCTGTTCAATAATTTTTAACCTGAGTGGTGGGAAACAAACTGTTGACAGAGAGATATCATAGGTTAATTGAGTGGGCAAAATGTTGGCAAATGGAGCACAACGTGGGAAAATGTAAAGTTGTTCATTTTGGAAGGGGGAGAAGAAAGAACAGAATATCATTTAAATGGAGAAAAATTGCTGAAATCTGCAACACAAAGGGACTTGGGGGTACTTGTGCACAGAACACAGAAAACTAGCATGTAGTTACAGTAAGTAATCAAGAAGAGCCTAATGGAATGTCAGCCCTTATTTCAAGGGGTTGAAGTACAATACTGAGAAATCTTATTGCAACTGTACAAAGTGTTGGTGGAGACGACATCTGAAGTACTGTGAACAGTTTGGTCCCCTTATTTAAGTAACAAAATTATTTCATTGGAGGCAGCTCAGAGCATGTCCACTAGGATGATTCTGGTATGGATGGCTTGTCTTATGAGCAAAGACTAAACAGCTTAGGACTCTACTCACTGGAGTTGAGAAGAATGAGAGGTGATCTCTTTGAAATTTATAGGATTCTTGCAGGGCTTGACAGGGTACATGCTGAGAGGATGTTTCCCCTCTAGGACCAAAGGTCGTGGTATCAGAATAAAGGAACACTAATTTAAGATGAGATATGGAAGAATTTCTTCTTTAATGTTTTAACAAAGATCTGTGGCTCGGGTTGCAGTTGGAGTTGTTGGTTGGTTAGCCAAGCTGACTGGTTTTCGTGCAAACTTTTCATCTCCCTTCTAAGTGACATCGTCAGTGCTGTGTAGCTTCTGTTGAAGAGCTGTTGTTCTGTACTGCTCTGAATTTTTATGGTCCGCTCTGTCATGGTGGGCAGTCTTGTTTCCAATTTCGTACCATAGTGGTATGTAGATGGGGTCTATTTCAACATAAAAACCAAAAGAACTGCGGATGCTGGAACTCAGGGACAAAAACAGAAATTGCTGGAAAAGCTCAGCAGGTCTGGCAGCATCCGTGAGGAAAAAATCAGTTAACGTTTCAGGTCCAGCGACTGGCGAAATATGGCTGTTGGTTTGTCTGCTATTTTTATTCCAAGAGGTCGTTGGAGTCTTGTAGTCAGTTCTGATGTGTTTCTAACATAGGGTAAGGTGGCCAGTATGTTAGGGCATACAGCATCTTGGTTTTGTTTGTTTGCCAGGCATTGGTGGGCGAAGCTGTTAGGATACCCATTGTTTGTAAAGACTCTGTATAGGTATTCCTGTTCATTTTTGCACAGCTCTGGGGTGTTGCGGTGAGTTATCGTTTGTTTAAACAGAGTCTTGACACAACTCTGTTTGTGGACGCTGGTGTGGTTACTGTTGTAATTCAGGATTTGGTCTGTGTGTGTAGTCTTTCTGTATACTTTTGTAAGGAATTCACCATTGTTCATTCGTTCTACTATTATGTCTAGAAACGGGAGTTGATTGTTGTTCTTTTCTTCCCTGGTGAGCCTGATCCCAGTGAATATGCTGTTAATAAGATGATGTGTTTCTTCTAACTTTGCTCGTTTAATGATCGCAATTTTTGGGATCAAGTTCACCAGGGAAGAAGAGAACAGCAATCAACCCCATCTACATAGCACTAGGGTACAGAACCGGAAGCAAGACTGTCCACCATGACAGACTATATAAATTCAGAGCAGGATGGAACAACAGTGATTCAGTAGAGGCAACACAGCACTGATGATGTAACCTAGAAGAGAGACGAAAAGTTTGCAGGAAAAGCAGTCAGTTTGGTGAACCAAACAACAACCACAGGAATTTTTTCTCTCAAAGGGTTGTGAGCCTTTGGAATTCCTTGCAGCGAGCACTATGGGGACAGAATCCTCGTGTATGCTTAAGGCTAAGAAAGATAGATTCTTGATCAGTAGGGGGAATCAAGGCCTTATAGGGAAAAGGCAGGAAAGTGAATGTGAAGAATATCAGAAAATGCAATGATCCTATTGAATGATAGAGCAGACTGGAGAGGCAGAATGGCTTACTCAGAGTCATAGAATATACAGCACGGAAACACATCCTTCGGGCCAACTTGTCCGTGCTGACCAGATAACCTATATAAATCTAGTCCCGTTTGTCAGCATTTGGCACATATCCCTCTAAACCCTGCCTATTCATATATCCATCCAGGTGCCTTTTAAATGTTGTAATCATACCGGCCTCCACCACTTCCTCTGGCAGCTCATTCCATATACGCACACCCCTCTATGTGAAAAAATTGCCCCTTAGATCCCTTTTATATCTTTTCCCTTCCACCTTGAACCTATGCCCTCTAGCTTTGGACTTCCCCACCCCAGGGAAAAGACCTTGCCTATTTACCCTATCCATGCTCCTCATGATTTTATAAACCTTTATAAGGTCACCCCTCAGCCTTCTGATCCTATTTCATCTGGTCTTATGATCTTATGGTCTTTCAGCAGTTCTGACAAAAGTATTCCCTGCACTTTCTATTTTTATTCCACCACAATAGACATCATAGTTTGAATGTAAATATGTTCTGAAATTAATGATGATGAAGGAAAAGTTAAATGTTTAGAACTGCTCAAAATTCAATGGGTTTGAAGGATTGCATGTCCCAGTTTTTTTAGCATAATTTGCCCTGATACTAAAATTCTTCAGCTAAAGACATCAGACCAGAGACTTTGCACTTTTGCTGGACTGTATTTGAATTCATCAGAGTGATGGCAGCAAGTCAGTGTGTCTGACTGGAATGTTCTCAATTCTGCATCACTATGTAGTGTATTAAAGCCATTTTGTTTTAGAATGGTCATTGGGTAAGTAGATTTGCCTATGTTTCCATGCTGGTCTTCTGATTTATTTAGTTACCAATGATAGGCTATTTAAAAATGTCATTTTAAAATAGAATTTTGTCTTTATTTATATGTTCTAAATTAGATTATTTAAACTAATGCGTAATTTGTTTATACCATAGTTCTCCAGCAGGCTGGAAGAAATCCTTCCAAAAAGACGCTTGGGAAGTACTGGACTCAGTATACTGAGAAATTAAACTTTGATGACTTCTGTGAGATTTTGAAAAATGAAAAACTTATAGGCAAGAATGAATTGATGAAAGCTTTCAAGAAGCTTGATCTGAATAACGATGGCTACATTACACATGAGGAGCTTTACAAAATTCTCACTACTGTAAGTGCTTATCTTTTTTTGTTAAAGGAAGTGTAATATATTTCCAAACCACAAATAAAACCTTTTAATAGTATAACTAAAGGCTAGCAAACTAGTCCGAATGTACAACTGCAAGATCAAAAATTTGAACATTATTTAAATTCATTACATGCCTCCTTAATACATGTAACCCAAAATGTGAGTGGTGTCCATCCTTTGCCTAACATTGCTGGTCTTAAATGGGCACTTTGAGTTGTTGGAATGTCCCCATCTCCAGCAACGTTGCTGCTCTACATGTTCTGATCCTGAAATAGTATGTGAAGGAAATTTTCCCTTTCAAAAATCCCACCTCACAAATATGAGCTTTTCTCCTTTTATTTTATTTCTCTTCCCTTTTCTTGAAGATGCACAATTTCACAGACGTAGGAGTCTTCCAATACTTCACCCAAGTGAGCCTGCAACAAAAGTGTAAACAGTAGCACCTGATCTTTGCATTGCTTAGTCTTCACAGACATGCACTCTGTAGTGAGGGGTCATTAGATAATAGCCAGCAAGAGAATCAACGGCTTTCTTGTTCCCAACAAGTTGATGGTGTCTAGCCAATTGGAGCACCTGCACTATTTGAAAAGCAGAATACTGCCGATGCTGAAAATCTGATTTGATTTATTGTAGTCACATGTGCCTAAGTGCAGTGAAAAGCTTTGTTTTGCGAGCAGTACAGGCAGATCAGCACAAACAAGGACATACAGATCACAGGGCACTTAGACAAAGCGAGGCATACAAGGTTACGGTTGCATAGGAGGTGTGCAGAGCAAGATCACCATTATTTGAAGTTGGAGAGGTCCATCCAGTAGTCTAATAACAGCAGGGAAGAAGCTGTTCTTGAACCTGTTAGTGTATGTGTTCAAGTTTCTGTCTGATGGAAGAGGTTGGAAGAGAGCATTACCAGGATGGGAGGGGTCTTTGATGATGTTGGCAACCTTTCCACGCCAACGAAAAGTATAAATGGATTCCATGGATGGGAGGTTGGCTTCTGTGATGGTCTGGGCTGTGCACACAACTTCCTGTAGTTTCTTTCGGTCCTAGGCAGAGCAATTGCTGCATCAGGCCATTATGCACCCGGATAGAATGCTTTCTGTAGTGTATCTGTAAAAGTTGGTGAGGGTCCTTATGGACATGCCGAATTTCCTAAGCTGCCTAAGGAAGAAGAGGTATTGTTGTGCCTTCTTGACCATTGCATCTACATCGGAGGTCCAGGACAGATTGTTGATATTGTCATTCCTAGGAATTTGACACGTGTGACCCTCTCCACTTCAGATCCATTGATGTAGATAGAGGCATATCCTCTTCCTTTCTTCCTGAAGTCAGTGATCAGTTCTTTTGCTTTACCGACATTGAGAGAGAGGTTGTTATCATTGCACTAAGACACCAAGTCGTCTATCTCCTTTTTTTTCTGACTCGTCATTATTTGATATCCGTCCTACCACGGTGGTGTTATCAGCAAACTTGTAGATGGTGTTCATTCAGAATTTGGCTACACAGTCATGGGTCTACAGGGAATACAGTCGGGAGCTGAGAATGCATCCTTGCGGGGTGCCAGTATTAGGGATTATCGTGGAGGAGGTGCTGTTGTCTGTCTTCACTGATTGCGGTCTGTGGGTCAGGAAGGTGAGGATCCAAATGCAGGGGTGGAGCCGGGACCTAAGTGGCAGGTTAGGCCGTATTGGACAAACGGAGTTAACATTTCAAGTTGGTTATCAGAAAACTTTCAATGCTGCTTCAACTCATCGTAGAGTGGTGACCAACATAATAATCTGGATAGTAGGAACTGCAGATGCTGGAGAATCTGAGATAACAAGGTGTAGAGCTGGATGAACACAACAGGCCAAGCAGCATCAGAGGAGCAGGAAGGCTGACGTTTCGGGCCCGAAGGGTCTAGGCCCGAAACGTCAGCTTTGCTGCTTGGCCTGCTGTGTCCATCCAGCTCTACACCTTGTTATCTCATCATAATCTGGATATTTGGTTTGATTTTCACAACACGTGTTTTGATCTATTTAAATACAACCATTGTAGCAGCTGGCCAGAGTATTTCTCAACTCCTATCACTGTTCATTATGTGGTACAGTAAATAGAAGACAAAGTACCTGAAAATTTACAACATGCAGACTTTCTCATCAAATACCCAGAATGTTGGTTTGTTTTAATATAAATGTAATTTGGACAGCATTAAGCAAGTGGAATGTTGTCACATGGTGTCACAAACCCGGTGGAAGTATTTGCTAGGTTTCTTCATGATCATGAAGAATAAGGTCATCTCAATACTTCAATTCACTCTATCCCTTTCTTGTAAAATGAGCAACTATATACTGAGTATCATGGTGCTGAATACTATGCAATGACTTTTACCATTTCACTGCAGAATGGTGAGAGGATGACACATGAAGAAGTGAAGATGATCATAGAAGAAGCTGATATCAATAACGATGGAAAATTGGACTATAATGAGGTATGACAACAGGATTGCAGTTTTGAAATTTAACAATCCTTATTCATGTTGTTTGCAATAGGATGTCAAGCCCAAGAAGTATTAGATATTTTGTTATTGCCACGGTAGGAAAGTATGCTCATTCTTGTGCCCCACTACTCCCAGCATTGCCACAAAAGTTAATAGTTTAATTAAAGTACCCAGTGTCCCCAATCTACTTGTCTAATAAAATCAGGCTTATAGAACACACTGACCTGATTCCTGTACTTAACACGGACTACTGTTTGTTAAAACCAGTAAATACAGTAACCACAGGCAAAACAAAACTATGAATTATTGATGTATAGTTCTAACAGTTGAAATGTCACCACACAGACACGCACACACATAAACACACATCATGTTATGCATGAATGAAAATCACTAGGGAAACACAGTTCAATAGCAACCATCCATAGAATTTGCTTCCCAATTTACTTATGCTGTCCGTACCCTTTCTGGATTCTTTCACTTCTTCACAAGTGGCACAGGGCAGTTATTACACTAATTGTAAAGTCTTTGCGTTACTGATAAAGGCAACAGCTGACAGCAACTGGTCAAGAATTTTTCTACCTGTGAAGCGTTCACACATGCCAGGTGTTTAGCTACTCAGGAACCAATTGGATGACCTCTGGCATCCACAACTAGTCACAATTGCTTAAACCAATCAGCGCACTTGCTGGCTAAAGCTCACGCTGAACATAATCTTGTGCCATTCCACCTTGTCTCACTTTCCCCAACTGTTTGTAAAGCAAAAGTGTAAACACAACTGATAATGAGTTCCAGTAACTTGTTTTCAAATGTGTAGCAATTCCTTCCTTAGGCTTAAAACTGTCCTTTTGCCATTCATAAGAACATAAGAACTAGGAACAGGAGTAGGCCATCTGGCCACTCGAGCCTGCCCTGCCATTTAATAAGATCATGGCTTATCTTTTTGAGACTCAGCTCCACTTACCCGCCCGCTCACCATAACCCTTAATTCCTTTACAGTTCAAAAATTTATCTAGCCTTGCCTTAAAAACATTCAGTGAGGTAGCTTCAACCGCTTCACTGGGCAGCGAATTCCACAGATTTACAATCCTTTGGGTGAAGAAGTTCCTCCTGACCTCAGTCCTACATCTGCTTCCCTTTATTTTGAGGCGATGCCCTCTAGTCCTAGTTCCACCTGCTAGAGGAAACAACCTCCCTGCCTCCACTTTATCTATTCCCTTCATAATCTTATATGTTTCTATAAGATCTCCCCTCATTCTTCTGAATTCCAATGAGTATAATCCCAGTCTACTCAGTCTCTCCTCATAATCCAACCCTCTCAACTCTGGAATCAACCGAATGAATCTCCTCTGCACCCCCTCCAGTGCTAGTATATCTCTTCTCAAGTAAGGAGACCAAAACTCCAGGTGTGGCCTCACCAGGACGCTATACAGCTGCAGCATAGCCTCCCTGTTTTTAAACTCCATCCTTCGAGCAATGGCAGACAAAATTCCATTTGCCTTTTTAATTACCTGCTGCACCTGCAATCCCACCTTCAGCGATTCACGCACAAGGACACCCAAGTCCCTCTGCACAGCAGCGTGCTGCAATTTTTTACCATTTAAAACATAGTCCAGTTTGCTGTTATTCCTACCAAAATGGATGACCTCACACTTATCAACATTGTACTCCATCTGCCAGACCTTTGCCCACTCACTTAGGCTATCTATATCCCTCTGCAGACTTTCAGTGTCTTCTGCACACTTTGCACTACCACTCACCTTAGTGACATCTGCAAATTTTGACACACCACACTTAGTCCCCAACTCCAAATCATCTATGTAAATTGTAAACAATTGAGGTCCCAACACTGATCCCTGAGGCACACCACTAGCCACTGACCGCCAACCAGAAAAACACCCATTTACCCGTACTCTTTGCTTTCTACTGGTCAACCAATCCTCTTTCCATGCCAATACATTACCTGTAATACCGTGCAACTTTATTTTATATAGCAGCCTTTGGTGTGGCCCCTTGTCAAATGCCTTCTGGAATTCCAGTCCACAATCACAAGTAAGAAGATGTGGTCTTTACAAATTTCAGATCTTTCCAGAGAGTATTGCACTAAGATGAGTTTGGAGCCATTTGTTTTATATTCCATTGATTGTTCATCCCTGTAACATACGAAAAACACAGAACAGTACAACACAGGAGCTGGCCCTTTCGCTCTCCAAAACTGCACGACACATTTTGCCCTTCAATACTAAGACTGTCTTCACTTAGAGAATCCATATCCCTCTATTCCCTTCCTATTCATGTATTTGTCCAGGTGTATCTTGAATGCAGGTATTGTGTCTGCTTCCACCACCACCTCTGGCAGTGCATGCTGGGCACTCAGAGTCATAGAGATGTACAGCACGGAAACAGACCCTTTGATTCAACTCAGCTATGCTGACCAGATATCCTAAATAAATCTAGTCCCATTTGTCAGCATTTGGCCCATATCACTCTAAACCCTTCATGTTCGTATACCCATCCAGATGCCTTTTAAAAGTTGTAATTGTAGCAGCCTCTACCACTTCCTCTGGCAGTTCATTCCATGCATGCACCATCCTCTGTGTGAAAAAGTTGCCCCTTAGGTCCCTTTTAAATCTTTCCCCTCTCACCTGAAACCTATGCCCTCTAGTTTTGGATTCCCCCACCCCACGGAAAAGACCTTGTTTATTTACCCTATCTATGCACCTCATGATTTTATAAATCTCTGTAAGGTCACCCCTCAGCCTCCGACGCTCCAGGGAAAACAGCCCCAGCCTGTCCTCCCTATTGCTCAAACCCTCCAACCCTGGCATCATCCTTGTAAATCTTTTCTGAACCCTTTCAAGTTTTACACCATCCTTCATATAGCAGGGAGACCAAAATTGCATGTGGTATTCCAAAAGTGGCCTAACCAATGTCCTGTACAGCCACAGCATGACCTCTCAACTCCTATACTCAATGCACTGACCAATAAAGACAGGCATACCAAATGCCTTCTTCACCTCACACTTATCTAAATTAAGCTCCATCTGCCACTCCTTGGCCTATTGGCCCATCTGATCAGGATACCGTTGAACTCTTCCTCACTGTCCACTACACTTACGATTTTGGTGTCATCTGCAAACTTACTAACCATACTTCCTACGTTCACATCCAAATCACTGATATATAAATGTAATCACTTCTTCCTTCGAGGCAGTTCTGGATCCAAATGGCTAGTTCTCCCTGTATTCCATGTGACCTAACCTTGTTAACCAGTCTACCATGAGGAACCTTGTCGAAAGCCTTACTGAAGTTCATATGGATCACATCCACTACTCTGCCCTCATCAATCCTCTACATTACTTCTTTAAAAACTCAATTAAGTTAGTGAGACACGATTTCCCGTGTACAAAGCCATGTTGACTATCCTTAATCAATCCTTGCCTTTCCAAATACATGTAAATCCTGTCCGTCAGGGTCTCCTCCAACAACTTGCCCACCACCAATGTTAGGCTCACTTGTGTATAGTTCCCTGGCTTTTCCTTATCATCTTTCTTAAATAGTGGCACCATGTTAATCAACCTCCAGTCTTCTGGCACCTCACCTGTGGCTACCGACGATACAAATATCTCAGCAAGGGGCCCAGCAATCACTTGCCTAGCTTCCCACAAAGTTCTAGGGTACACCTGATCAGGTCCCAGGTATTTATCCCCTATTATGCATTTTAAGCTGTCCAACACCACTTCCTCTGTAATATGAATATATTTCAAGGTATTGCTATTTATTTCTCCAAGTTCTCTAGCTTCCATATCCTTCTCCACAGTAAACACTGGTGCAAAATACTCATTTAGTATCTCCCCCATCTCCTGTGGTTCCACACATAAGCAGCCTTGCTGATCTTTAAGGGGCTCTAGTCTCTCCCTAGTTACCTTTTTGTCCTTAATGTATTTGTGGAATCCCTTTGGATTCTCCTTAACATTACTTGCCAAAGCTATCTCATATCCCCTTTCTGCCCTCCTGATTTCCTTCTTAAGTATACACCTACTGCCTTTACACTCTTCTAGGGATTCACTCGATCTCTGTTGTTTATACCTGACATATGCTTCCTTCTTTGTCTTGACCAAATCCTCAATCTCTCTCGTCATCCAGCATTCCCTACTCCTACAAGCCTTGCCCTTCATCCTAACAGGGATGTATTGTCTCTGGACTCTGATTATCTCATTTTGAAGGCTTCCTATTTTCCAGCTGTCCCTTTATCTGCCAGCATCTGTCCACCAATCGACTTTTGAAAGTTCTTGCCTAATACCGTCAAAATTCGCCTTCCTCCAATTTCGAACTTTAACTTTTAGATCAGGTCTATCCTTTTCCATCACTATGTTTAAAACTAATAGAATTATGGTCACTGGCCCCCAAAGTGCTCCCCCACTGACCCCTCAGTCACCTGTCCTGCCTTATTTCCCAAGAGAAGGTCAAGTTTTGCACATTCTGTAGTAGGTACATCCACGTACTGAATCAGAAAATGCTCTTGTACGCACTTAACAAATTCCTCTCCATCCAAGCCATTAACACTGTGGCAGTCCCAGTCTATGTTTGGAAAGTTAAAATTCCCTACCGTAACCACCCTATTATTCTTATAGATAACTGAGATCTCCTTACAAATTTGTTTCTCAATTCCTCCTGACTATTGGGGTGTCTATAGTAGAATCAATAAATAAGGTGATCATCACTTTATTTCTCAGTTTTATTTCTCTGAATGTATTTCCAGGAATTTCCTCCCTAAGTACAGCCGTAATGTTATCCCTAATCAAAAACACCACCCCCACTCCTCTCATGCCCCCCTTTCTATCCTTCCTATCCCATCTGTGCCCTGGAACATGAAGCTGCCAGTCCTGTCCATCCCTGAGCCATGTCTTTGTGATTGCTATGATATCCCAGCCTCATGTTCCCAACTATGCCCTGAGCTCACCTGCCTTACCTGTAAGGCCTCTAACATT